TTTTCCAAGTGATATATAAAGAAATCAAAGCTTTTGCACATCAAAAATAAATGTTTCATTTAGAAACATGGCACTATAAAATCCCCAAGAAATGTAAAAAAAAATATAGATGCTGTGTGAAAATCGGTCTAAATGGTGACTCTGTGGCTGGGATCCTTCTAATCTAATCATAGAGTCCACAAATTTGATCTTATCCAGCCCTGATGTTGAAATTACTGCTAAAAATACCACTAATGTTAAAAGCAATCTTGTGTTAGTATGACAGCTAGAAAAAGAATCCCTTTCTTTATAGTGCTGAAAATGTCATTTTTAAAGAAGACAAAATTATTCACTACAATTATTTTGGTGTTTCAAAACTAAAATTCTGAACTCTACCTGGTCAAAAAGCTGGTGCTGAGCCAAATAACCCAAAGCTTTCACTCCATCCTGTTCAATGTTGATACACAAAACAAACAACAAAAGCCCAGATATCATGTTAGAAATCCCAAGGTCTTCTCTTTCTCTCATTCACATAAATCGGCAGTCCCCAACCTCCGGGCCACAGACCGGTACCGGGCTGCGAGGGTTGCGTCTTGGGTGTGAAATTTATGGTTTCCAGGGTTTTTATTGTTTACTCTGTTTCCCTGGGTCTTTTTCCTGTGTTGTAGTTGTGCGTCTTATTTTGAAAGAAATATTTACGTGTTACCATAGCGACCAGAGAGCATTAAGGGGCAGAGGGGAGGGTGTTACTCTCAATGTTGTTGGCGCATTTCTGGAGGACGCTGCTAATAAAGTTACACAATTACACAGTGAATTTGTGTTTAGTGTTATATTTACAAAATACCACAGTTTTTGTCTTGGTTGTATCATTTTATTTTGTTGCATTTATCTGCGACACCTTAAAGCCGGTCCATGAAAATATTGTCTGACATTTAATCAGTCTGTGGCGCAAAAAAGGTCGGGGACCGCTGATATAAATAATGTGATTTAAAGACTTGCTCAAGATGCACTTACTTTATTCAAAATATATCTATCAATGAATTCATTGACCGTGAGCAGCGTTTGTGACCAATCCTCATCAGTGTACCTGGATCCCACCTCAACAGGAACAGTCCGGCAGCCGGCCACAGACCTCAGGTATTCTATGCTTTGCGGGAGGGAGACAGTTATTTGAGTGAGTCACACATAAATGTGGCGATCCTGGTTTCAAGCGATGCTTCAAAACATCTTATATATAAGCACGTCAGGATGTGACTGAGGTGCCAGAAGCTGTATGTCAGATGCCAGAGTGAATAGGCTGCTGTCAGGAGTGAGCAATGAGAGGGAGGACAGTGAAGGATATTGTTAAATTGAAAGAAAGTTATATCAGACGCTGGTGTCAGACTTGAGAGTCAGGAATCACATATGCAGAGATGAGTAAACAGACCTGTTGTCTCTATTTGCTCACATAGTTAAGGAAATGACAGATAGATATCAAAGTGATACACACTGCATACTACATGTCAGCTGCCTCTCTGTACCAAAGTCCTTCAGGTTTTCTGTCCTCTCAGCTTGATAAGTGCACTCTGCTGCTGCTGCAAGTGTAAAATAGTCTGATTACAAGGCTGGACTGGATGTAAGTGCTGCATTTAACCAAGGTGGAGGAGCGCAAACATGCTAATACTGTGAAGCTTATTTTCACAGACAGAATGCACAATTTTGAAAGTGGTTTTCAAATCTACTTTAACCTTTTCAGTGCATGATTGAGATTAGCATACTAATGAGAGTAAATTGGTTCATAATTGGGGGAAACAGCTGGCTGGTGTCATCGGGACAAAAATATGCAAACGACAATGATTGATAATAGCCAATTAATTAATACAAATAGCAATCATGAACTGAACAACAATACATTCTGTACAAACAAACCTCCAGGGGTGTTTGTTGAAAGCAGGCCAATGGTCGATGATTCCTTCTAAAATCACCGGTTTGAGGGGGAGCAGGTAGTTTGTTTTGAAACTTTCCAGTGAAGGACACCTTATCCTGGGAACCGCCGACTCTTCTTTGATTGCAGAGACAAGCGGGCTCTCAATCTTTATTCTCTGGAAATGATTTCAAAATGAAAGAAAAAAAAAATCAATTCAACCTTTAGAGGAAAACGATAAGAAAAACAAGTCCTTGATTATATCTCACATATGTGAGTAAACAACTATCAATTAAGTCTTCTCTGGGTTCAGGCTTATACTGATTTCAGTGTTCTTTTGTACTGTAAGTGTGGCAGGCAATTTAATCATAGTATGACTTTAAGCTTCTGGGAAATGTGTTGCTACTTTCTACCATTTCCTTGCCCTGATTAACCAAGAACAAATTAAAGACAACATTTCTAAATACTTGTTAGTTGCAGCCCCATTCCCCACTGTACAGCTCGTGACAGATGGGTAGACTATTTCAACAGCTTTTTTAAGATGATAGCTTTTAAAAGGGGAAAAAAAAGCACGAAAAATCCTGCCAGCCCTGCACTAAACTCTCCATCTCTATTTAGATGGTGTCTAAACAAAGTGACCTGACATTTGAAAAGTTGCTGCACTTAATCTTCAGTGACATCTGATGGAGTGCAACAAAATGAAGGTCACAGAGGAATTTCTTTTCCAAGCTTCCAGAAGATTTTCTCTGAAATGTCCCCATCAGTCACTATTAGTTCGAACTCTGAATCAGGTTGAATGAAATGTACAAGAATGTTTTCTCACTAGTAGAACTTACAGTTAGTAATTACTAAATAAACTAATGGACTAACAGAAAATTGTGCATTTCAGATGAAAGAAAAAAATCGCTGACCTTGACCTCAGCATGTTCACTCTCATCCTCTTCTTTAGTAGAGTTCAATGTCCTTATGTGACTTTGCAGAATCCGAACAATAACCTGAAGTATATCACCCATGATGGCCGCGCCCATGATTAGACCCATGTCGCAAGTCCTAACAGCCTCCAGGATCTTGTCTTCGGACGGACTTTCACAACACAGTGCCGCCACTTTGAAAAGGCAGCCATACGAGTAAACGCGCCTCCAGTCCTTGTCCACATGCCGCCACGTTCCGGTGTTGAGCTTCTCCCATGAAATGTCCAAAATAATCTGAGCATTAAGCAATCGGCTGGAACTTGTGATGTCGCCGTACAGCTGCTTCCTGGACCGTTGCAGCATTTCCACCACACTCAGTTCCACTTTGTCACTGAATTTCAGTGGAAACTGGTCTTCATTAGCCGGCAGTACTGGAGAGATTTTTGACCACAGCGATGCCATTGACGAGAAGGTCGTTATTTTTTTACTGTGAAATGAACAATGAAAGTGAGTCAGGGTTAACAGTGAAGTGTCAACTCAAGTTTTTATAACGAAGCACTGAGAAGTTAAATTTGCTCAGATTTAGGCTCACTTTCATCAATTCACTGACTTTTCTTTTTTAAAGGGGAGGGATGTAAATTAATGACTCCTCATGTATTTAGCTGGTTATTGAGCCCACCAACTGTTAAAACCGCCTGCCATTGTCGCACAAATACACAGTATGCTTGTTCAGCCTCTTTGGTGCTGTGAAACAGATGTATACAACTAATTACTAAACTGGCAACAACAGAACACAGGTGAGGGCATCCTGAGCCAGAAAGGGGGGGGCAGACACATGTATGAAAACAACACTTTTGCCGCGTTGTTGCTGGAGCCGCCAACTCCGCCTCCATGTGACTCCATCAGCGTTTGGATGCTCTGTGTTGCTGGAGATGATGCCAAAGCAGGAGGCAGCCAACTCCGAGGGCCTGATTCATTTTAGTACAGAAATGCAGCCCTGTGAACTCAGAGGCAGACTGGACTAAACAAAGAAAGCATTTGATATGCCACATGCCTAAGCCATCCACGACCCTGGAGTGCACTCCAGCTGATTTTTAAACAGTCACATGGGCTGTGCAGCAAACCCAAAAATCCAATGGAAACCCCAGCGACTTAGGATATTTAGGGAATTACAGTCCCTTCAGTGAGATTTCATTATGGAAGTCATCAAAGTATGAGCAAAGAGTGAACTTTATCTCATTCATTTTTTTTTCTTTATGCAGCAGCGGGAGAAAGCCAATTATATTTTTCTTTAAAGCCTCGGAGATTAGACTCCCGCAGTGCAATTCACTCTATGCTCAATTTTATCCCAAAATCTCACAAGAAACAAAGATGTAACATGAACGCAAGACTGTAGCTTTAAAACGTGGCTACTTACACATACACACACACATATATATATATATTTTCCTAAAAATACAAATGTTCTTATTTTTTGCTACTAAAGCTTGCCAGGAATTTCCCATTTAAAGCTATGACGCAACGCACATAATACCTGAAACAGGTTTATGGACACAGAAATAGAGGACCAGACCTCATGAAAATATTTACAGTTTTCCATATTTATCCCTTTCTTCCTTCTGTCATTCTTCGTCTCTTTTCAGTTACTTGCAGTCTGTGAATTTTGCACACTTGTGAGAAACGTTTTGGCGGCAATGTTTCACGATGACTCGTAAACACGGAGACTTAATTTAAGTTCAAATTAAATCCCTAAAATGCCACATTTACCTTTTACTAAGCCATTTACACCAATAATCCGATAATATCTGTGAAATTACGGAGCAACTCCACACACACGCGCGCGCTACTCTGACGCCTGTGGCACAACAAAAACACACCGGGAGGAAACTCGAATAGCTAAACATATTGGTTCCACGCTGCAGTGTAGATATTAAAAGCTGTATATAAAAACTGATCCCATCAAATTATTAATGACAAAATATTGCTTTTATGGTTTATTTATTTTCAAGAACTTAAGCCTTTTCTTTTCCTTCTCAAAAGGCAGAAACTGGGATTCCCTTTGTGGTCCAGTAGATGGTGGCAGCATCTGCACTTCCTCTAACCTGTGAGGTTACAGTCCCACTGCAAAGGCAGGATGGCATTGAATTAAATGGTACTTTGCTAAGTCCTTGGACTTTGCGACCCCCCCACCCTCCCCTTGTCCAAGTCAAGCTGGCGCAGTGCACACCCCTGTTTGTTTGTCATGTGTTGCCAGTTTCCTGCCAAGCATACACACTCCCACGCATATCCTACTCCTACACACACATTTTTGCTCACAACCTCTCAGACTAATGGCTATTTAAAACCCGTTTCTGTCTCATTTCTGTCTTTTTAGATGATTAACCAGATGCTCTGAAGCTCAGTTAAAATGAAACAGCGCTCTGGTGACAGCACCACCTCATTTACATACAATTATAAATTTGGCTTAACAGGTGAAATGACAGAGTCCAGTCAATAGACTGTCTTGCAGTGAGACCCCAGCTCTTTTGTCACATTAAATGACAGCACACAACTATTTGTTTTTCCTCCCCTTTAATTGCTCCCACTGCTCGAAACGATTTATGTAAACACAGATATTCCAAGAAGGATGATTGATATTTATCAGCTCAAGTGAAACCATAATTGGGTTTGTCTTTTTGATGTCACACAGAGATATTTGGAGGGGCAGGGCAGTTATATTGCTTTTTTAGGGGGTATGTAGCCTGAACAAGCATGATAGGAAACCTTCGGCAGGGAAGTCTAGAATCTATAAACACAGTGCACTATTATCAAATGTCAAATACTCTATGAAATTCAAATATTCTCTCAGTGCAAACTGCACAGCCGCTCTTGTATGTAAAGCAGATGGAAACAAGAGAGAGACAGCCTGGCTTTCCAGGAATCACGGGGGATTTTAAAATGTTTCAGACGTTTCTATTCATTCTCACAGTGTAAACAGTAGAATCCTTGTGGCTCGATCTTTTGTTCACCTCCTGCACGGAGGTGAGAAATTACTGTGACAGCCAAAAAGGCTTTGTGTTCTTTTATGCTTTTTAAGCTTTTCCTCTTTTAAAAAAAATTAAAAATTAAAATAGTTAGGGTAGGGTTAGCTAACCCTGCAGGGTTACCCTGCAGGGTTACCCTAACCCTGCAAAAACAGGTAATTACAAATTTAAAAAAATAAAGAAAATCAGTATTTGAATGTTTGACAAGATACTTGTGCACAATTGCCTAAAACAATGACCTACTGTAATAATATTAAAGGTTTAAAAAATAAAGTAATATGCCAACAAGCATTGAAGATAAAAAAAAAAAGCCACTCCATCAGATAAGTTCCTATAGGCAATAAATATTGGACCAAACCTCAGCTCTGCTCACTATTGTGTATGTCGAGGGACACAAACCTTACACTGTGGATGTGAATGATGTGTTTCTGAACCTCTGCTTGTGTGAGCAGTGAGGGTGGTCCCAGCAGGAGAGGTCGATGTATTATTCAGATGTGTCTGACTCTGGTTGTAAGACAGCACAGGGCTGAAGGTTAGAGGCCCAGCACTGTTGTTCCTCCCTGTGCTCACAGCACTGACTTCATGTGCAGGCCGTCCTTCCAACACTTCATCGACAGGGGTCAGCAACCTTTCTCCTCTTTATGTTGAAGGAAAGGCCCATGACTCTGTTCCTCCCAGGGCCTAGTTAGAGCGTTCCATTCAGAAAATATTTTTTTACACCTGATTTGAAAAGATTTCTTGATTTCAGCTAGTGAGCCCACCGATATGTAATCTAACACATACATGCCAGTAAAACCAACATCATGTTGCTCATCCTAACAATTCAATTTAGGGCAAAGACTGTGTTTGTGTGGACAATGTGGAACATCTTAGCAATTTAACTTTAAAACATTAAAACAAAATAAATAATAACAATAAACTATGCAGGTCACATTGTCATTTAGCACGTTAAGGAAACATATATTATATTTGAAACAACTTGTACAACACCTTCAATCTAAAAAGCACAAAAGGCAACTCAAGTGTGTTGTCATGGCATCGTGTGATAGTCTTAATAATCCTGTAGCCAAAAGATTTGCACGCCTGTTTCAGCATTTTTTAACCAATTATCACACACACACTGCACATTGCAATATAACTCCCCTTATGCAAAACAGAAAACAAGGAACTATAACAAAAACTATATTTCCCATTATGAAAGGTTGTGCATAAGTTAAATGCATCCTCTAGGAAGCTCAAATGAATAAATGGATGTGTCCTGTTGTGATTCAAGTTGCTAGTCTTACCAATACAATGATTATGTCATTTTGATGCTTCCAGATTGATCAGTGGCTTTCTCTGTTCCAGCATTGGCATCAAAACACAGGGTAACCTGAATCTGACTACAGATAAATGCCTTCCCTGTTTTCTTCACGTGGTTTGGGTAAAAGCCAGACTTTAGAAAAGTGAATTCCCTTCAAATCTGCCCAAAATGATATACAGTGTCTCCATATATTTGTGCAGTTCCATATAAAGGGAGACATCTGGTAGCGCCACCTAACTTAACGTCTTTGAAGACCAAGCATGCTCTCCATGGCAACAACATCCCCCAATGGCAGTGGCTCTTTTAAGCAGGGGAATATACCACCGTTAGTAAAGCGTAAACCATAGAAAAAGTGCTATTAACTATTTAGTTTTATTTTTTTTTTAACACATTTTTTGGTTGCTGATCAATCTGGAAGCATTAAAATGACATAATCATTGTATCGGTAAGACTAGCAACCTGAACTACAACAGGACACATCCATTTAATCATTTGCGCTTCCTAGAGGATGCATTTAACTTATGCACAACCTTTCATAATGCCCAGAGCGACATCAACCAATCACACACATGCAAAACGAAAACAACTCCTCAGAGCACAACAGAGTCTGAACCAATTCAACAACAACCCTGTGGGCAGTTCTCGGCTTGCAGTTTCCTTGGATTTGTAGTCTTCTTTTCAAGAAACAACTGATAAGTCAAATAATTTTAGAAAGACT